CAACCAAAAGATACAGAAATTACACCATGTGTTTTATTGCTTTTATATAATTAATCATGATAATACCTTCTGTAAATCATCCTGAGCGCCTGTAGTAATGCGGCCGAAAAAGATTTCTTCCGATGCTCGTCCACCGAGCATCATGCACATCCTATCGAATAACTGTTCCTTTGTGTAAAGATATAGCTCACGTGGCAAGTACTGAGCATATCCTAGTCCTTTACCACGTGGAATAATGGATACCTAAGAGAATCAATACAAGTTACCAAGAAATTGTACCGTCTATTTTTGTGAAATATAGATAAGATATATAAATATAGTAACTTTTAAAAGTGGATCTGCATGCTCTAAGAACCAGCCAGTTATCGCATGACCAGCCTCATGGTATGCAACTGTCTTCTTTTCCTCTGGTTGTAACACTTTGGTCTTCTTTTCCAAGCCAGCAACTACTCTCTCAATAGCTTGCTCGAAGTTTTTAAGTTGAATGTTAACATTCAAGTCTCTTGCCGCAATTAGAGCTGCTTCATTGCAAACGTTTGCAATATCTGCTCCTAAAAATGTTGCAATGTTATAATAGATCTTTTTTTTTCAGATTTTCATTGAATGTGTAAAATATTTTATTTACCCTCTTATATTTCTCCAAAAATGTTAAATTATGTACCTGTAAATCCAGGAGTCAAAGATGCCATTTTTCGTGCTAATTCATCTTTATCTAATTTCGTTTTCAAAGGACCTAAATGTACTTTGAAAATGGATGCTCGTCCTTTGATATCCGGAGCAGGAACAAATATTTGTCTATCAAATCTACCAGGTCTTAGTAATGCTTTGTCTAGAATGTCTATCCTATTAGTCGCCGCTAATACAACCACATTGGTTGTCGTGTTAAATCCTTAAAGAAAATTTAATAAAAATGTTAGATTATTTGGTAATTTTCAATCTTTTCGTGTTTAAAACTACGATGTACCATCCATTTCTACTAAGAGCTGATTCAATGTATTTTCTTGCTCAGAATGTCCGCCAAAATTCCGACCTCCTCTTTTTCGTCCAACTGCATCGATTTCATCAATAAATAATATACACGGTGCATGTTTCCGTGCCATGGAAAACATATCGCGGACCCTAGAAGGACCAACACCCACAAACATCTCCAAAAATTCCGAACCTGATACTGTAATAAAGGGTACATTTGCTTCACCAGCTGTAGCTTTAGCTAACAAAGTTTTGCCGGTGCCAGGGGGCCCTGTAAAAAATACAACATATATGTACGATATATCAGCACATATAACATCCCTAAATTCGATCGATATGTTAGTTTTTTGGTTAGAGTTCGATCAAAAAATACATTTCACCATCTAATGAATAATATATATTTTATACAACCTTATATATTTCACATAAACCTTAGTTACCTGTTAACATAGCACCCTTTGGAATCTTAGCTCCAAGATCTATATATTGTTGTGGGTTCTTTAGGAAATTTACAAATTCCATGATTTCGATTTTAGCTTCTTCACATCCGGCTACATCTCTAGTGTCGAGCAATATACAATTTACTAATCAAGAATTGCATGTGTTAAATATAGAAATATGTGCTTATACATATGTATTACTCACTTAAATCGTACACCAATATCTTTCGAATTTATTAGTTTCGCAGTCGATTCCATTACTTGACCAAAAAGTCCACCCCTTTTACCTCTTTTACCTGACATTACTTCTGCAGATCTTCGTATTAACAAAATGAGGAATCCTAAAATATATTTCAATGATAGCCACAAAATAAATACATATATATACATACATATATATGTATATAATAGAAATACTTCGCAATTGTAAGTTTATAAAATTAATAATTTACTACTTACCCCACATAATAATTTGTGGAAGATATGATATAAGGTTTGTACTTTCTACTTCATTTTTGTAAACCACAGGAATATAATTTTCAGGTCCCATGTTTAATTCTATTTGTGCATTTTCTAAATTTCTTTCAAATGTATCTGTACTTCCAATATTAAACCATAGTGTATCCTATAAAAAACATTAACAAGATAATAGAAGTACCAATATGAAATTAAAAAGTATAAGTAAACTCTATCACTAATTAGTGATTAAGAACTTACAGAGCCATCAACAGTATATCCAGGTAAAAGCTTTACACGTACCCATTTCTTATTTATTACTTCTAACTTTTCAACAAGACCTTTATTTAAATAACTGAAAACAATATAATTATATGATTATAAGCATAAATTATTTTCATTTTATATGTAGGGCACACTTCTTCCTGTCAGTATAAATATGTCTACCAACATTGATTTGTATTTACAAATAACAAGTCCTGTTAATATTTGAATTATCTTTGAATAATCATTGGTAATAAAATTTACTCACTTATATATAAATTCTCTCCACGTAATCTCTTTCACATTAAAATCCTGGGCAAGTAGCAATGCAATTATCCCACTTACTCCAAGTGCAATCAAAATTAAATATGTTTTTTCCTTGTCACCACCTTCGAATGATTTACCTCCTCGTGAACCGTTTCCAAAGATCTTAAATGTCCATTCGAAACTGGACTGTTTGGAACCAGACGACGATGTAGTGGTAGAAGTAGATGAAGATGAAAGAGGTTTTTTAGTTTCAGCCTTTTTACTTGTTTCTTCTGCTTTTTTGGAAACATTTTTACCATTTTTACCTTCACCTATAATAAAATTTCTTTAGAAATTCTATATACAATTTACAATAAGACTAAAAGAAAGATGAAAGTCGTATAAAGGTAAACCTGGTTTGAAAAATTTTTCGAATCCTTTAGGTGGCTCTTTACAAAATAATCTCCACTTCTGCTGTATTTGCTCAATGGCAGAAAATGTTGTACTATTTTTAAATTGTGATAAGTGACGTCTCAGCTGAAAAAAATGTTTTAGCTTAATCTTATTATTCTAATGATTTATATAAAATTAAATAAAATAACAAAAATTATGTCATTATTCTTGATATTTCAATTACATGGTTTTGTCTACAAAATTGTAAGTAACCGTCACAAAGCTGATGTAAACCATGTATTTCATTGCGACATTCGGCAGATTGTAATACAAACGAGTGAAAAAGATGGGTACACGAGAGTGTATCCTTTGTAAAAAAAATACGTCATATGACATACACTTAGAAAACGAATCATAACTGCGATGGGATGAGCAAATGCGTCGGTTGCAGAAGGTTGCACAACAGAACGTCTGAAGTACGCGACACGCAGATAACGCTCACGCAGTAACCATGGGCGATTATTAACCTCACGATGACGCTCGTCGCGTCATTTCTTGCACTAAACGTTAGCGGTTGTCCTGGTTTGACGTGTTATGTGACGAGTACACGGAGGCAGCGAATAGGTTATGATACCTGAAACGTGTCGAAGTAACCTTTCTGAGCGGACTGCAGGACTAGCCTTTCCAGCCTGCTGGCCGAGAATGCTGAGAAAAGCAGTTGTTGCGCCATACTTGGAGAAATTGTTGCACACCGCTCTATTGAGATTCAGGATCCCTGTTTATTTATTATTTATTTTTCCCTCGCTGAATCTCGGGGCGTAACGTATTACCAACCGCGGGCGACCATCAGCGACAATCCAGACAATCAGCGACTCTCAGTTATCGCCGATGATGAAGCACAGTCTGCACAGTACTCCGGCCGGCATTGGCTTCAAACTTATTGCCGGTGCTGTCGTCATCGATGGCTGTGGATTTAGCAAATTCCACTCCTTCGTTTTAATTTTTTTTTCGCAATCTTTCTCGGCAAATTTGGAGATTAGAGGATTAGCACCGTCTCCTTGTTTCAATCATTGCCTTCTGTTGCCTCCTTTTATGCCTCTAATTTTTAATAAGATAATCTAGAAATCAATATCGATCACCACGTGACTTATCGCGGCTCGTGGAAATATAAGGTTCTTTTTGACTGAACTTTTGCACCAGTTCATCTTTCTTCCTTTTCTCTCCAGGAGAAAAGAAGAGGAAGAAAGATGAAATGGTACAAAAGTTCATCCAAAAAGAACAGGCCTATAAATGGTCGCGTTCATCAGACTCAACTGTTGTGTAGCGGATCCGTGATGCTCGCTGCCATTGGATGATCTAAAAGAATACACCAATAGCAACGAGCGCTCACGGATCCGCTCCGCAACAGCTGAGTTTACTGAAAGCGATCGATAAAACTCATATGAAAATTCCTGCACACTGAACGCGGAAACGCTTGCCGCGCGGCAAAATGTGACGCGGTAGCCAATAACCTTCCAACTCCTGACATGTTCATTGGTTGCCGCGTCGCATTTTGCCGCACGGTAAGCTTTTCCGCGTCCAGTGTGCAGGAACCATCACTTATTTGCATCATGATATCAGACTATCAACATCAACTCTGCAGATCGTTCGGACTCTTTAACTACCGATTAGTACCGATCCATAAAGGACCAATCACAATGGCTGTGTCGGACAAAGCTGCTAGCCTACTCACCGAGCGATTTATGCCTGGTTTATGCTTCGGTCTTAAAATCCTAAATTTCAGCCAATGGAATACAGATTTCAGTTAGGACCAATTAAGACTAGCAACCCTATTGACTGAATTTTAGGATTTTAGGGTTAAGACCGAAGCATAGGCTGCGTTCAGCAGAGAGCAGCTTTGCAACTGTTGTAAAATTCTTCAATATGATTGGTTTATACGTTTAGATCTGTAAGGAACCAAAAGCAAGAACCAATCGTATTGAAGAATTTTACAACAGTTGCAAAGCTGCTTTCTCTGCTGAACGTAGCCATAAACTACAGGCATTAATGTGTTTGGTTGGATCTGTAACTACGTTTACACAACACCCATTGGGTAATAAAATCCGTAGTTAGAAACTGGCCAATCACAGTCATTCCGTTCTTCAAAGGAACAGATTTTTCCTTTTTTGTAGTGCTCAATCAGTTGGTAACACTGATTGGCAGTAAATTTGGAACACGGCAATTATTTTATTATTTGCGAACAGATGTTTGTAGATTTTGTTGAGGTTAATATTGGGGTTAATTATAGAAATCAGAAATGATCAGAAATACGTTCGTTTAAATCGTAAATGCAGTGTTATAAATCATAAAGTTTTTATTAAATTACAATAATGAATTCAAATGCAGTTTCAAAGGTATAAGTTTAATAGATAGCTACAACACAGTGAAGTAAATTATGTTACTGTAATTGTTATACTGTTTGGAAGGAAAACGCACATTATTATTTTAAAATAAGAATTATTTCACTTTTACAGTAATATTATATATATTATTATGCTTCTTTTCAGTCCTCACTTACACCATCCGTGCAGGAATTTAGTATTAGAGTACCAAAGTTAGTATTGTTAATACCTACTTGTGTTTCTACATTTACATCACTATGATAAAATAATATTTGATTTATGGATTCTTTTAGAAATAGCAAGAAGAAGCACAATGTTATGAGATTCAATGCAACATTAAATGTAGATTTTTCGAAATGGTCTCAAGTAAAAATGGAACGGGAGAATAATATGAAAGAGTACAAGGGTATCGAAGAAGAAATGCCAAAGTTTGGTGCTGGATCTGAATTTGGACGTGATGCTAGAGAAGAAGCTAGAAGAAAGAAATATGGTATTACCAGTAGGAAATATAAACCGGAGGATCAACCATGGATTTTAAAATCAGGAGGAAAAACTGGAAAGAAGTTCAAAGGCATTCGCGAAGGAGGAATCAGTGAAAATGCTGCATATTATGTCTTTACGCATGCTGCTGATGGTGCGATAGAAGCCTTTCCTTTACATGAATGGTAGGCTTTATATTGTTGATTGCATATATTTGTTGATGAATACTCAAAAGTCAAACTTTCATAGGTATAACTTTCAACCAATCCAGAGATACAAGTCCCTCAGTGCCGAAGAGGCAGAGCAGGAATTCAGTCGTAGAAACAAAGTAATTAATTATTTCTCACTAATGTTACGAAAGAGATTGAGGAATGATGAGGATGGTGGAGACGAAGAGGAACTAGTAGAAGGTGGTAAAGGCAAGAGACCTGGTAAAAAGGAGAAGGAACTGCAAATATCAGAATTGGACGAATGGATGACTGATGATGATGAATCAGGCAGCGATGAAGATGAGAATAAGAAAGGATCTGAAGATGAGGACGATGGAAAAAAGAAAAAGAAAGACAAAAGTAATAAAGGAAATTATATCTTTAATTATAGATATTTAGTTTTATATAATGGAAGTATATATTAATTATGTATCATATATAGACAAATATAATATATAATTTAATTAAATGTTCTAGTTCAATTGGAAAAGAAGAAAAAGAAGAAAAATGTCTCAGACGATGAAGCATTCGAGGAAAGTGATGATGGCGATGAAGAAGGAAGAGAATGTGATTATATTTCTGATTCTTCTGTTTCTGAATCAGAATCAGAGCCACAAAAGGAAGTTAAGTCTGTGGCAGAAGAAGATGCGTTGAGAAAGTTGCTCGTGTCTGATGAAGACGAAGATGAGGAGGAACAGACAGATAAAAAAGACGGAGAAGTAGATAAGGATGAAGACGAGGAAGGAAAAGAAAAAGATGATAAAGTAATGTAACATATTGTTATGGCATTTATCGATAAACAATACACACATTGCATCTTCCATTCTTTAAAAGATATAAATTATTTCATTAATCAATGCAATAGCATTTATCAATGTTATCATGTATATTTACTGACTACTTTGTTCTATATTTCTAATGTACTTTGTGTTTAAGGATAAAGACAAACTTGGTAAAGAAATGGACAAGAAGAAAGACAAAAAAAAGAAGAAAAAAGCCAAGAGGAAGGATCAAAAGAAATCAGCGTCAGGAAAAGATTCTTCTAGCGATTTCTCTAGCGATTCAGAATCAGATTCTGATACAGCGCTAAAAGAGAAGGATAATAAGAAGCCCAACAGCGCACACAGTTCAAGATCCGCAACACCGACACCTTCAGCGTCCGGTGTTTCGGATTCTTTTAAGAGAAAGCAATCTGGTTCTCCAGACTTGTCGCAAGCAAAAAAATTAAAACTCGATAATTTCAATCTAGTTCCAGTAACATCATATATACCAGGAACGAAGTACATCTCTCTTTATCTTTGTTTTAAACGAAGTGTGCAACAATTATATTTTTATTACGATTATTATAATTTTAATATTTTTTGTTTTTCAGCGAATCGGGAATCACGGAAGATGCAGTGAGGCGGTATTTAATGCGTAAGCCTATGACAACGACCGAGTTGCTGCAAAAATTCAAATCTAAGAAGACTGGTCTCACATCCGAGCAACTTGTCAACATTATGACTCAAATATTGAAAAAGATAAATCCTACCAAGCAAACTATCAAGAACAAAATGTATTTATCAATCAAAGCGCAATCTAACTGATTTCAGTGCGCATATGCCGCCTCGAGTTGTTCGAGATTACACATGTAGTGTTTGTTCAATTACATAATACTGTTCTCTCTCTGTAATATAACTTCACAGGTAGAAATACATATACATAGTAATTTTATTATCAGAAAATATCTTTTCATTTCAACTTTCCATGATCTCTTCAAATAAGTTGATTAAAGCGGATATCGGGCAACAAATAGCGTCATAAGTTGATTGACAAGTTTATTATTTACGATTATGTATTTATTCTCGGTACGCGCGTGTCGTTATTATCAAGCTGGCAGCGATAAACACGCGCGAGAAGAAAAACGGATTTTTCCAAGGATTTTTTCGTAAACTTCTTTCAATGGTACCAACAACCAGTACGATGATCAGAGGGTCATACGATGCCGATAAGAGCATAGCTCCGAGCTTATCGATGATTTTGTAATACTTTCTGACATCTTCATTGACCCAAACAGCACACGTACATACGTGTGATTAAGTATAGTGCATAGATTTAGCAGTATATTGTTGACTCGACTTAAAACACAATTTAAACAGTTTGAAAATACAAGCAAGATTCGCATTACTCCAGTCGTCGCGATCGTTGCAAATTAGTTTCAATTGGTGAATTTCCTCCCGACAACGGTGACCTTTACACAGCCGCTAAATCAACATTGACCAAGGTGTGATGCGGATGTTAAGATTGATAAAGGCTGGACGTAATTCACGTCATCTGTTGACTACTGCGACTCCTGTTCTCACCCATAACGTCAGATGTATAAGTGTAAGCATTTAGTTATGTTTAAAATGTCACTGAAATGCCTTCCACGTGGCATTTCAGTAATGATCCGATTTAATCAATTGCACCGATGTCGGACATCACTAATTCTCGGGATAAACAAATAGACTTAATAGACATTAAAGAAAAAATCAAAAATTCGTCCTAATAAAAAACTGAATTTTTTCCTTAATTTCCGAAAAAGAGCTTTGAATAAAAAAATGTCTATTCTTTTTTTTGTTACTCCTAGCTTGTATTAAAGAATAGTCCGAATAAGATGATTCTGGAAAAATCAACAAGAAAGACGAAAGACAGATTTTTTTAAACGAACTATCGTACTGTTGTATAAAATATGCTGATTAGCTGAGTGTTCTTTTGCATCAAATCTTTTTAGAATCTTAAGGGTAAGGTAATAGCTATAAGACGGGAAGATCAGTCAGTATGGGAGAGGAGAGCACCGTTAGCCCCGGCGAACGTTCGTCGTCTCGTCAGATCAGGTGTAAAGGTGATTGTGCAGCCCAGCAATCGAAGGGCGTATCCTGCCCAAGTCTACCAGGCAGCCGGCGCCCTGCTACAAGAGGATATCAGCTCAGCTTCCGTTATATTCGGCGTCAAGCAAGTACCCGTGGATCAACTGATACCCAATAAGACATACTGCTTTTTCTCGCATACCATCAAGGCCCAGGAGAGTAATATGCCTCTCCTGGACGCGATCCTAGAGAAGAACATACGTCTCCTGGATTATGAAAAGCTCACGGACGCAAATGGCCAGAGGGTAGTGGCTTTCGGCAAATACGCCGGAGTCGCTGGTATGGTGAACATATTCCACGGTTTAGGTCTTAGACTGCTAGCTTTGGGTCATCATACTCCGTTCATGGTATGTTTATACTTTAGAAACAATTACAAATTTTTGATTTATATTGAGTAGAGCTTTTTCAATGAACTTGACATTTCCATAAAATTCATTCAATTAAATACTGCATTGAATTGATATAGACATTAATTTATACTAAGTTTATATTAAATATAACGTGTGTTTATAAGTTCCATCTATAAAGATATTGAGAAATAAAAGTGAAAATATATAATAATGAAATCTTTATTTCACTCACTCACAAAATAAAATATTATTATTATTATATATTATTATATATGATAATATATTATTATAACATATTATATTTTTATTTATGAAGAAGATATTTTTTAATAATAAATTACAGTTTTACTGCTTATATTTTATTTATTATTTGTATTTTAGAAGATGCATTTTGTATCCTTTGTGCTCTCGTGTTAAGATAAGAAAAGTCACGACTTCCCTCTACTTTGTTATACTGGAGAACAGTAGGCTGCAATTTAGAATAATCCATTTCTGTTATATATGTTTTGTAAAACTTCATCAAAATTTAGATAAGTGCAATTACTTTGTGATTTCAAATGATAATTAAGTGAGTCTTAAGAGATACGATAAAATTTTATTTATTCTGTACCTGCGTTCTCCTTCAGTAGTAGAAAAAATAACTATAATAATATAGGTGTGTATTATGATAAGCAATTATCAAGATACACATATAAACGTACGAATCAATAAGATCCTTTAGAAAATATGAATATGAAAATATCAATAAATTAACTAATCGTAATAATCGTTTGATTAGCACATCGGACCGGCGCATAATTATCGAGATTCAGCCATGGCACGTCAAGCGATTCGCGGTGCGGGATATGAAATCGCGCTGGGCGCCATGCCGAAGTCGATCGGCCCGTTGACCTTTGTCTTCACGGGCAGCGGTAATGTTAGCCAGGGTGGCCAGGAAGTCTTCCAAGAGCTGCCCCATGAATACGTGCCGCCCGAAATGTTACGGAAAGTCGCCGAACACGGCGGTATGTTGCAATTCACGAAGTCGTCGTTCGCGTTTCATAATTCGTGAACCGTTTTACCTAAGAATAACAAGTCTTGATAACGTTAATATGACATTAAAATGAAACATTGATTGAAAAACTCAATAATAATGTTGGAGCTATTTTGATATTATAATGACTTGTGTTCTGCTTGGATTCTTGGATATCGCTTTTAATCACCGAGCTCTCTCGCAAACATCATAATTGTCGTTTGCGCTGATTCTGATTCGAAATTTATCTCTTTTCGTCCTGCTGCTTCGCGATTTGTAAGCAGTATATCTTTAAACTGCAAAATATTACAGCAGCTAATATTATTACGGTTTAAATTATATTTTCATTCAAAATAAAATTAATTATATAATTATTATATATAATTTTTAAATAATTAAAGGACTTGATGTAAAAACCGATCAGCTCCAGTTTTTGGCGAAAATGTCTTTTAGAGTGAAACTAATTAACATAGCAAATATATTCCGCGTTTTTGGTATAAAAAACAGACAGCTCCGACAGCTCTGATCTGTTATACACATTTGAATGGTTTTCGTAAAATTTCGCACAATATACTTTTGATAAAATACTTTTTTTATTAATATTGTAAAATTTAAAAATCGACTAGTTTTTAAAATCAGATCAGTTTTTAATTATTAAACCTATTTTTTTTAAATAATTAAACTGGTACAAACTCTTTGCATATTAAAGTGAGATAGATATTCAGACAGCACGAAGAGTCCCAAAAGAATTCTTTTTTTATTCCTGACTTATGAAATGAATTTCTATTTTATCCCATTTCTATTCTAAAAGTATTCCTGAAAGGGTTTTCAAAAGATTTAATTCACTTTGTATCACCAGTTGTGAACTTTTTTTCAGATCCAAAAAGTATTCTTTTTCTAATCTTTTTCTATTTCTTAATTTTGTATAAGAATAAATCGTATTTTGATTTTTTATGCAAATTAAATATTACTTTTATTAAAGATAACATACATATATACAAATATGCATACAAATATATTTGTATATATTTTTTAATTAATACTTTTGAGGCTTTCACAGATATTTTCTTCAGAGATGCAAAGGATTTGTGGGTATCATGATCCATTGCTAAGGCATTAGTAATAGTTTTTAATTTATTTTGAAAGAAATCTTGAGTTCATTTCGAACAGATTACGTTAATTCATAAACAACTTAAGAAGGTGAATACTTTTTAATAGATCAGTTATTGTGCTATCTGGATATATTTTGATATTTGGCAAAAGAGAGAAAGAATGTTCTAATGCGATCCAATGCAACAATAAAAAATAAGTGTATTTCCCACGATTATAATCTTAATAGCTTTGTGATAGAGAGGCGTGTCTTAATACCTGCGTCACTTTTGCCTCACTGCATTATACCTTTTACCACTTTTTTAGTGATAAAACTCTTTGCACAAGACTCGTGGAATCTATTATCGTCATATAAAGTAAACAAAAATATTTATCATGGCGATATTTCTTATCAGTGCTCGGTATTTGTATTTTCTTCAAATCGTTCCAGATACGACGAAGATATACGGCTGCGAGGTGCGGCGCAGGCATCACCTGGAGAGGAAGGAGGGTGGCGGTTTCGATCCTGAGGAGTACGACCAACATCCGGAGTTGTACATCTCCACGTTCAGCAAAAAGATAGCGTCGTACGCCTCGGTGATCATCAACGGTATATACTGGGCGGTAGATTCGCCGAAATTGTTGACGATACCGGACGCAAAATATCTCCTCAGGCCCGCTAATACACCATGGCTGCCTATAAGTGTCGGCGCTCCCGCATTGCCGCACAGGATGCTCGGTATTTGCGACATATCCGCGGATCCGGGCGGCAGCATCGAGTATGTGTACTCGTGTTTATTAGGGATAGCGAATTTTATCAGAGAGCGAATTCAGATAGATATAAGAGACATAATTAAGTCACAATGATATTATAGGATCTTATCACGACGTCACTTGTCACTTAAAAATAAACTTGTAAGTCAATAAACAAATAAGGTCATGATGATATCCTGTGATATTATTATGATATGTGCTCTATATACTTTGAAATATTAAGGAAAAGGCTGTAAAATTCTGTAACAGCTAGAGTATTGTACGAGTTACAATCACACATAATTATGATTATATGTATAATTTATCATTATTAATTTATAGTTGTAAATTCAACGTATATAATTATTTATAAGTAATAGGATAATCATTTATAATTATGTAATAATAATTTATCATAATATCAAAACATGGACAAGTTGAAACATTTTTTTAAACGTTTTAATTAAGATAATTATTACATGGATTGTACTTTTCAATTTATCTTGTTTTTCTTTTAACACAATCAGATTATTATTATTATACAATTATTAATTTTTCATATAAGATTTATGAACGAGTGTACGACGATCGATACACCATTTTGTCTGTACGATGCCGACCGGAACAAGGAC